ACCCCTTGATCTAGCACCTCTACTAATCTGCGGGGAGCTGGGTTTCCAAGCCCCATTCAGTCCTCTGTTTAGCCTGCCAGCTAGTTCCATCTGCGGTGGCCGGTGTTATGGGCACTGGACTCAGACTCCTCTCACGTAGGTCAGCTAACAGCCATTAGGCGGCAATGGCTTTGGGTCACTGTCTATTTGGAATGGAGCCAAACCAGAGGTGAAAGGCTCTGTATCCAATCTCTGCCCCTCAGGCTGTCCTGGAATCTAAAACGCATACACAAGTTTGCATGGAATGCTATGAAACTGCATGGGGACTCCGGCCTGGGGTGCCTCTAATTTCAAGCTAGATTTCATCATGTATGTGACCTCCTCTCCAGAGTACCAAACTCCATCCCCTGTCATCTATGTGGTCTCCTGACCAGGATGTCCCTTTGTTGGTTCCTGACTATATCCCAGCCACCTCCTTGGCATACTCCTCAGGGTCCCAGACCCCATCCCACCACCCTGCGTGAGCTCTCCTGCCCAGGATGGCCCAGTGATGGCTCCCGACTCCATATCCTCGCCATGTCTGTGGGGCTGTCCAAAACAAATTGATTTTATTTTTCCCTTTGTAAACAAAGGGGGAGAATCAACCGTCTCCTAATTTTAACCAGTACGTGAGGGACCAGGGCGCCATGACAGACCAGCTGAGCCGAAGGCAGATCAGGGAGTACCAGCTCTACAGCCGGACCAGTGGCAAGCATGTCCAGGTGAACGGCAAAAGGATCACCGCCACAGCAGAGGATGGCAACAAATTCGGTAAGAAGTTGGAGATGCCCCCATCCCATCAGAGCACATGGCCAGATCTCAGCCATCTGTGATGGAAAGAGACTGGCTGGTAGGGAATGCACTTTAATTCTAAGCGATTATCGTGTGGCTGTATCAGCCACATCTGGAAATGGTTGTCGGCCCTGCAGAGATTCTACATCTGGAACCTGGTCAGAGAGGCCAGTGCCAACGCAGGGATGAGTCACACTGCTTGGGTTAGATTGTGAGCTCCTTGGGGTAGGGACCACCTCTTTGTTCTGTCTCTGTGCGGCACCTAGACAGCAGGGCTTTGACCCATATCTGGGGCTATCACAATGGGGTCTATACACCTGGCTTCTATTACCAGCTTAAGGAAGGGAGTGGGGTTTAATGTTTAGAGCAGGTTGGGTTGGGCTGGGCATTAGGACTGTTCCCAGTTCGGGGAGGGAATGAGACCTAGTGTCTAGAACAGGGATGCCGAAGTCATGACTCCCAGGTTTTGTTCCCACCATTGCCAGTGAATCACTGTGCCACAACCCTGCTCCATGCCTCAGCTTCTCTGTCTGTAAAACGGGGATAATGGCACTGCCTCCGTCCCTGTGGAGCGCTTTGAGACACTTGACTGAGACAGATAACTAGCATCCTTGGCACGGGCTAAGAAGGGTCACAAGGGTTGCTTTCGTATATGTCCCCAAGGAAGAGACAGAGACCAGGAGGCTTTCCAGTTTCATAGCCACAGCTTCACTTGCAATGCAACCAGCTGAACACTGGTATGTATTAGAAACCGAAAGACGACTTCCTGGCAATTGAGAATATCCAGGAACCTGTGACCAGCATTTTAAAAGGTATTCTGGTCTAATACACAAAACAGGCTTGCTAAAGCCACTCCAGTCCATCCCTAGCATGTTTGGGACTGAATCTCTGGGTGAAATCTTGACCCCATTGTATTCAAAAGTCCCTTTGACTTGAGGATTCCATCCCTCATGTGAGAATCCAGCAAAATGCATGGATTGTTGAGATATTTCCACAAAGGGAAATGTAAACTTGTAAAGGCAAAGTCCTGACTATCACCAGAGACTGTGATGCTTCAAACGTACAATGACTTGTTATGGTAACAATCCAGCACTACTTTAGGGACAATAGTCCCAGATTCTCCTCGGGAGAAGTTACATGCAACTCTTGTTCAATTTATATTCTGATCAGGTTATTTGGGGGTTAAACCTAAATCTGATCTGAAAGTCATGGCTCTGAGATCTTGTTTAGACTTCAGTTATGCACATGCAGGCAACTGGAAGATTAATACATTGTCTTCAACTACCAGGTTAAATCAAAGAGAAAAGCTTTAACTGGATTTAAAATCCACCTAGGTCCTGCTCCCTTCCACTTCAGTGTGAGCAGGAATCTGACCATATTGATAGTCTGTTAGAATACAAAATAGGATGGTTACAGTTTGTTCTGGACATGAAATGAAGATTTAAAGATTCAGTGTTACAAAAAGTACCGAGGAGGTCCATTTGTTTTGGGTTTTTTTAAATTATTTTAAGGATTGATAGAGATATTAATGGTTTTCAAAGGATGGTTTTTCCAAAGCCAACAGATAAAAAGAACATTCCAAAGCATAATGATTAAAACTTATCCCAGAGGGGGGAATTCTTCGGTTTATTGAAGAACTGTTCAAGATCAGTTAAGCACGACAATAAGGCTTGATCAAAAAGCTGGTGGCAGGACAGCTGCAGCCAAATCAAGGAGAGGTGCTAAAAACTTAATTGTTCCATTTGATTGAAATGGTCTCATAAACACCCTGAATGCAGCAGATAAGAGAATTTGCAAAGAAACCTTGGTGTGAGCTTCAGATGGATCTTACGCTCCATGTGCCAGTTTCTGCACTTGCTTAGGAATCAGTCCAACTCCCGTTAAAGCCAGTGGCCCATTAGCTCCCCTGGGAGCTGGATTGTGGTCTTTATACCTGGAGCCAACCCCACTTAAGTCAAGGGAGTTTCATCCATGTAACTGAGAGCAGGATCCAGTTCATAACTCCCCATCATCCAAGCAAAACTATGGCTTTCCTAATTTGCTTGATTTACCAGCTGTAACAGACAGTCTAGTGGTCGGAGGCGGGCATAACGTTTTACTGCGTTAGAATTAGATTCTGTTACTCATCCAAGTGTGGATAGAGGCTTTTCCTTAGGGATTGTAACCAGAGACTGGCTAATGGCGCAAACATTTAGATTGGGATTTTGACCCCTCGTAAGGGCAGGGGTGTTCGGAGGGGGGATTTGGGTTAGGGGCCCATCAGTAATTGGAACAAATAGTGTATTGGTCATAGGGGCATAGGACAGGAAGGGACTTTGTGGGTCATCACATGCCATTCCATCGTATAATCCGATTCATAAATGTACCAAGCTCCATCCCAGTTAGGTTCCTGGCCCTGACTACTCCTGTTGGGGGGCTGGTCCAGAACCTCACTCCTCTGATTAGAAACCTGCTAATTTCCAGTCTGAATTTATTTGTGGACATGGGTTGTTCTGACCATGTGGATTTTACCTGGGAAGGGGGATGAAAGCCAAGGAGCCTGAATATAAAACCAGCGGGTCCCAAAACCTGAGAGATCTAGTTGTTTTATCACTGTAACTGGGCCATGTGCACTGTACTGCATCTCTCTAAGTGTACAGTTCACATCACTGTAACCCTGCCACAGATACCCAGAGAAAAAGGCACCTGCAAAGGCAAGCAGCACAACTGAGTTTTTATGGCTAGGGACAATAGTCTGAGGTTTTCTCAGGCTGAAATTCACTCCTCCGCAGAGGGCCTAACCCAGAAACTATGCACCACTCGAGTCCAACTTAAGCCCCTTTTCGAGGGCTTAAGTGCAGGGTGCCCACCCCTCAAGCATTTGTCAATAGTCACCCCCAAAGGGTTCAAAAATTAAAAAGCATTCCAAATTTTGGAGGGTGGTGTTTCTCGGGCCCTCTAAAAATCATGAGGTGGGGGGTGTTAATTTGGGGTTCTTGTTATTTGCCACCTGGTTTCTGAGCCTTTAGGATACACACAGGTCATGTTTTCAAGCTTTTCCCTACAGCCAGGAGGGCTAGAATTCTTTTTTTTTTTTAAATGAAAGCTGAGAGTCTCATCTTGCTAGAGTTAGTCCTTGTACCGCGCCTGGCACAATGGGGTCCTGCTCCATGACTAGGGCTTCTAAGCACAACAGTGATACTGCTACTAAGTGGTACATAGGCATTATTCTGGTCCTCTGCACAGGGCTGAATTTCAACCTAGAACAGCATTATATTTTGCAGAAGCCGAAGCCCTCCTGCAGTAAGTTATACTTGCTCACAGGCTATTTTGCTACTGGAATCTGCTATTCCCCATTGCTCTGGCATTAGGCTTTAGGAATTGTCACGTGTTAAAGAATCCCAAAGATGCCCCTGAATTTTCTTAATAAAAATACTTAATTTCTATTAAAAACAGAAAGGCTATTCTAAACAGCTTAGACATTAAAATAGCTCAACTCACCAGCTGCCAGGTACTCCTGCCTTGCACTTTCTAGATCTTTCTCCAGATTAATTAAACAAACACAGATGCAGGCTATAGTTAATTAAACACAGGTGCAGGCTAGATCCTTGGTTGCAACGATGTAGGTATTTCTGTCTGTTCACAGAGGGTTGGAGTCAATAGGAACACATCAGACCCCAGGTGTTCTAATTAAAGAATGTGGAATGGACGCTCAGACAATTAACCCTTGACTGACTGGTCAAAAGTCTAACACAGCAAAACACACACAGTATGCAATGGTAATAATACTGTGCCTAGTCCCATGCTTTGTGCAGCTTTAACCTTTTATTTCCTGTGTGTTTAGATGACACTGAATACTGGCAGTGGCCATTTTTCATCACCTGCCCACGTGAAGGGTTTGTTCATTGTTACCCGGGACAGAGGCAGAATTACTTAATTGTAATATAATTACTATTACTTCTGGCCTTGCCCCTAACAGCTTTCACTATAACACACAATGGGTGGGAGGGGAAACAGAGAAAGAAGTTACTTGCCTGCAGACACGCACTTGGGCCAGGAGTTGACCCTATGTCCCCAACTCCTAAGCCAATATCTTAGCTACAAGAAAAGGAGGACTTGTGGCACCTTAGAGACTAACCAATTTATTTGAGCATGAGCTTTCGTGAGCTACAGCAACCGATGAAGTGAGCTGTAGCTCAGGAAAGCTTATGCTCAAATAAATTGGTTAGTCTCTAAGGTGCCACAAGTCCTCCTGTTCTCTCTGCGGATACAGACTAACACAGCTGCTTCTCTGAAACCTATCTTAGCTACTAGACTGTGCTGCTGTTTGTAAATAGATGCCTCCTTTATTTCCTGATTTGATCAAAGCAGCAGCCCTGGCTTTCGCCCTGTCCTCATAGATCCTTGAGGTAAGTGGGCAAGTTATCTGTGCTAGGTATGTGCTTCCCTTTGCTTCTCAGATGAAAGGGGCAGTGGATTGCTAGAGACGTAAGAACAGAACTACAAACCAGAGGCTTGGACACTCTAGCCATCCCCTCTGGCAGCTTTCCTGCTGGGTTACTGTCTAACTCCGATTTCTGTATCATGGTCCTGTTACCTGCAGGGCGGAAAGCACCATGTACTGGGACAATTCAATGAGATGTGTCCCCACGCCCCCCTCTGAGGCTGGGCACTGCTGTTATCCCCCTGGTACAATGGGGACCTGAGGCACACAGAGAGTGAGGGTGTGCCTACGTTTCGACACTAATCTCCAGCTCGAGGAGACCTATGCACACTAGCTCTGATGGAGCAAACGTGCTAAAAACAGAGCGTAACAGCAGAAGCATGAGCAGCTAGCCACCCCAGCCCACATGCCTGTTGTTTGGGAGGAGTGCATACTCAGGGCAGTTAGCAGCTACACTTTATTGTTAGCACGCACGATTGGGTCCCTCTTCTTGAGCTGGGAATCCTACATCCAAGCGTAGATGTGCCCTGTGTATCTTGCCCAAGGTCACCTGGGGAGTTTGTGGTATAGCAGGGAAGTACTAGCCAGGTGTCCTAACCACTGGGTTGTCTGTCCCCCAGAGCCGAGATAATGTAACCGCTGGTAGCACAGTCTGTGTGTGCTGTTTGGGCATTTGTTTTTAATGCACTCCCTATGCTCTTCTGGATCTCTGCATGGGCCTGAGTGCGCACACTGACCCCCGGACACGCAGACTGGCCGGCACTCACTCTAGCATCGGTGGAAGGAGTTTGGTTTGGTTTGGTTTTCTCCCTCTCTCTCTTTCTCTCATCCTTGCAGCAAAGCTGATTGTGGAGACGGACACCTTTGGGAGCCGTGTGCGCATCAAGGGAGCCGAGAGCGAGAAATACATCTGCATGAGCAAGAGAGGGAAGCTCATTGGAAAAGTGAGTCACAGCCAAGGAAGGTGGGACAAGAAGCAATGGGCTTAATCTGCAGCAGGGGAGATTTAGGTTAGATATTAGGAAAAACTTTCTAACCCAAGGGTAGTTAAGCTCTGGAACTACCAAGGGAGGTTGTGGAATCCCTGTCATTGGAGGCTTTTAACAGCAGGTCAGAGGGATGGTCTAGGTTTGCTTGGTCCTGCCTCAGAGAGGGGGCTGGACTGGATGACCTCTCAAGGTCCCTGCCAGCCCTATGATTCTATCAATCTGACGAGTCTTGATCCAGTTCCCACCCCCCGATTAGCATTATACAGCTCCCTTGCTGGGAGCCCCAGAACAGCAGCCAAGGACTAAATGGGACAGAGAGACGGGACTCCCTTCCTACCCCTGAGTGGTGGGGTTCCCTGCCTGGCAAGAGCCTGGGAAGCCTGCCCAGCTTCCATGAGGTCTGGCAACCCGGCACCCTCCATTGGCACTAGATCCTCCCAGGCCTTGATTCTGCTCCCTCCGAAGTCCAATGGCAACACCAGTGGCCCAGGATGAGACCCATCCTAACAACACTTAACCCTTTCCCTGCTGGATTAACCCACTCTCTCCCCCTTCCTTCCCTCCAGCCCAATGGCAAGAGCAAAGACTGCATCTTCACTGAGATTGTTCTGGAGAACAACTACACAGCCTTCCAGAATGCCCGCCACGAGGGCTGGTACATGGCCTTCACGCGCAAGGGCCGCCCTCGGAAAGCCACCAAGAGCCGCCAGAACCAGCGGGAGGCTCACTTCATCAAGCGCCTCTACCGCGGCCAGCTGCCCTTCCCCAACAACGCCGAGCGGCAGAAGCAGTTTGAGTTTGTGGGGTCCTCCTCCCCGACGCGCCGGACGAAGCGCACCCGCACCCCGCGGCCCCACACGTAGGGCCCTGCGCTTTGTCTAGTGCTGCTGACCCCTGCTGTGCGGAGGGCCGGGCCGTCTGCCCTCCCCGCCCACAGACCCAGGCTGCTGCCCCATGCTGTATGTAGGGCCGTGCCGTCTGCCTCCCCGCACACAGATCCACTCTGCTGCCCCATTCTGTACCTAGGACTGTGTGTCACTTGCACGCCCTGTGCCCACCACTGTCCCATGCTGCACGTTGCCGTGTGTCCTGCCCTCCAAACACACCCATTGCCCCAGGCTGTACATAGGACTGTGCCCTCCCAGCACCCTGCCACTCCCCATATTTTATTTTACAAAGATGCTCTATTTTTATACTTCGATTCTCTTAGGCACAAAGAAATATTAACTCGAGGAGCAAGCGTCAGGTGTGGGGGGGTTATTTTTTGTATATAGATGTAACCCCAGGCAGGATTTCCCTTTGTTCTAGAGCACCCCTGTGCCCAACTGCCCTGTAACGACCCCCAAGATTCAACACCCATTGCTTTGCCTGCTCTTCTGTGCAGCGATCCCTGCTGGGAGGGCAGCAGACAGCAACTGGTTTTGGAGACTTCTTCTGACCCTGTTCTCAGCATCAAAGGTGCTAACTCCACCGTGGCGGCCAAGTTCCTGTGGGAGCAATCGTGGCAGCTGGTTGGGTTTTTTTATTCTGCTACACGGGCTAAGCTCAAAACTTCTGACTGGTGCGATCTTTTAGACTGTAGGACAGTCTCCCCATGTGGACAAGTGGAATAAGACTGCCGAATGGACTGTAGGGAAGAATCCTGCCTTGGGATAGGGATGAACTAACAGGACTTTTTTCTCCAGTATGCATGGATGGATCTAGCAAACAGACAGCCGATATGCAGGAGACTGTATGCAAGAGTCCCAGGGCCAACAAATCCAAGTGACTTGGAAGCCTGTAGAGCAGCAGAAGGGTTGAGATCATCCTGGCTTCCCAGAGGGGAGGTAGATGTCTGTCTGTCTATGGTACTTAGCTGGCCCCATTACTGTAGCCCCTCACGGTCTGTAATATATTTATCCTTGCAACACTCCTGGAAGGCAGGGCAGTGCTATTATCTCCTTTGTACAGAGAGGGAACTGAGACACAGAGAGACTAAGACCTGGTCTATACTTAAAATATAGATTGACCCATCTACGTCACTCAGGGGGATGAAAATATTTGCACCCCCTGAGCTCTGTAGTTTAGCCGATCTAGCCCCCAGCATAGATGTGGCTAAGTCGGTGAAAGAATTCTTCCCTCAATCTAGTTGCTGCCGTTTCGGGAGGTGGATTATCTAGATGGAGGGGGAAAATGCACCCTGTGACTGCTGTATAGGCATGCTCACAATGACTTGCCTAAGGGCACCCAGAAAAGTCCGAGAAAGATCAGGGAATTGTGCCTAGGTCTTTAGAGTACTGACTTAGCACACTAACCACTGGGCCATCTTTCCCCTCCTGGGTGGTTATTTCCCAGAGGGAAGAAGGTTCTGGGACTGAGAGGTGGGCGTTCCAGCATGGAAAAGTTGAGCACCACAGTTGCAGAGGCCAGGTCCCAGCACTTGTTTTCAGCTTGTCACAAGCCTCTTTATTTTATTTATTTTATTGTAGGGTTTTGGCTTCCCTTCTTCCCTCAGTCAGGGGCTTTCCTTTTGCTTCAAGAGACCAAATTCCCAACCACACTCCCACTTTGGAGGAGAAATAAAATGAGGAACCCCCGTTTGACTAGCCAGAGAGCGACCTGGCCTAGTGTCTATGATTCCCTATCAGGTAAAGAGAAACCACTTTTAGGTTTTTATAATAGATTCCCATATTTCCTTAAAGAGTCGACTGCTGTCGGTTTAGGCCTAAACATTTAGACTTTGGGATTTAAAAAAAAAACCTGAAATGAATAAAAATTAATGTCTGGGGTGTTTTTTTTTATTTCAAGCACAGCATGTTCTGGGGGCTTGTCTGTATGTTTCTTTTGAGATGTAAGTGTTGCTCTGCTGTACGGGAGACCCAAATGCAGCAGCATCAGAAGGCCGATCGAGCTGCACTTCCCAAGTTGAGCAAAGTACAAACAGTTAAATAAACTGTGCACGTGGCAAAAGGCAAATGATTTTCCCTACCCAGTGATTTCAGGCAGAGTAATCTTTGGCTCTATTTCTAAAGGGCTGTCTACACAACAAGCTGTGCACGGGCTAGCGTATTCAAGCTAGCTTTAATCTAGCTAGTATTGGTAACGCTATGAAGTCAGCAGAGCGGGCTGGCAAGTTGCGTATGTACCCAACATCTGCGCCAGGCTCGCCTCGTACTATCAGAGCTGAAGCCCGCACTGTGCTGTCTTCGCTGCTACTGGTACCCACACTAGCTGGATTCAAGCTGGCTCAATAGGCTGGCCCCTGCATCGCTTTTGCTGTGTAGACAGACCCTAACACAGGCACAGATGTTTGAATTTGTTTAATGCCTTAGAATTGTGGTATTCCAGTGCCACCCCCAGAGTCCGTTGTCCTAGAGGCTGCACAGGGGGATAGTAGGAGACAATCCTTGTGCCAAAGAGCTGAGGGTACAATTTTCAAAAGTGCCTGAGTGACTTGGGAGCCTCCGTCCCATTTTCAAAAGTAACTTAGGCCTTTAGGAGCCTGTGTTGTTTGAAAGTTAATGGGACTGAACAGAAGAACGGCTGTACTGGGTCAAACCAAAGGTCCATCTCGCCCAGTATCCTATCTTCTGACAGTAGCCAATGGCAAGTGCCTGAGAGGGAATGAACAGAACAGGTAATTATCGAGTGATCTGTCCCCTGTTGTCCACGCTCAGCTTCTGGCAATCAGAGGCTAGGGACACCCCAAGTATGGGGTTGCATCCCTGACCATCTTGGCTAATAGCCATTGACACTGTTAAGTCACTTAGGTGCTTTTGAAAATTTTACCAGCCCAAATAGCCAAATCATATGGGGGGGGGGGGATAAGAGAGGGGGAAACTGAGGTACAGAAAAGTGAAGAGTCTTGCCCAAGGTCGCCCTGCAGGTCAGCGGCAGAGCTGGCAATAGAAGCCAAGATCTCTCTATTCCCACATCTGGTGCTATAGCCACTAGTCCACACTGCCTCTTGAGAAGCTAGAACCTGATTAACTCTATTCGTTAATCAACAAATCCTATCAGTTTTCCAACACCCCTTCCCCCTGTCACTCTCACCCCATTTCTCAGCATGGTTCTGAGCAAAGTGCCATGGTGAGGTCTTCTATTACCAGAGAGGAACAGTGGTTTTGTGATTCGAACTGGCGAGAGGCCTGACTTCTATTCCTGGCTCTGTCCGTGTCTTGCTCCATGACCTTGGGTGAGCATTTACAGGAGAGGTCATTGATTTGAAGTGCCAAGGGGTGGGGGAAATCTTCCATAGCATTGAATCCTTACATCAAGACCAGGGCTCTGGTTCTGCTGTTTCTTACACTGGAGCAACTCCACTGACTTCAGGGGGTTGCTTCTGTCTTACGCTCGTCTAAGTGAGCACAGAGTCAGGCTGTAAAAGGCTCTTTCTGAGATGCACTAGCTTCTCTGCACTGACTGAGTTTGACTGAGTGGAATTTTCTGGCTCATCTTGATGCAGGGACCAGACTGGATGATCACAGCAGTCTCTTAAAGGGCCTTAAAATGCATAATCTTGAGCCACCTTTGCCTGGTTTCCAGAGGTGCTGAGTACCTGCAGCTTCCATTGAAGTGAATAAAGCCCCACAATTTAGCTGTCATCAGAAGCTAGTCCCAGCCTTGCAGAAGAGCATTAAGCTCTAGCAAGCCGCGCTTGTCAGAAAGAACCACGGAGATTTTTCTACTGCCGCATCCTTGGTTATTTTTATCAGGTTTCCCCTGATGGACCTAGCGTGAGTGATGGGCTGATCACTGAAGTCCCTGGAAAGGCCTCCAAATGGTTTCAATGGGCTCTGGATCAGGCCCCAATTCAGCAAAGCACTTGTAGCTCATGCCTCAAGTTAAGCATGTGCTAAAGTCCCATTGAAGTCGAAGAGACTTCAGCCTCTGCTGTAAGTGAAACTTGTGCTTTGCTGTGCACGGACAGTAAAGCCCCAGCTCTCAGACTCATGTGATCACACCATGTTGGGGGTTTTAAGTAAATATCTAACTTTTGTAGCTGTGGATAAAAGCACAAAAAGGCCCAAAAAACCCGAGCAAATTAAAAAACAAACAATTATTTTAAAAAATTAATCTCATGATTTTTAAGCCAATCCTGTGATTTTTTTTTTGATTTTTTTTTTTGAGGGGTAGACAGCTGGCTCATCATGTTTGAACCAGACCTTTAACAAGGTTCTCTGCGATGGTGTCTCTTTAAGGCAAGGAAATGGGAAAAGCCCCTTCCTGGCACTAACTGTAGCTGGGTCAGGCTGAATACCTGGCTACTCTTTAGACACAGAGGGATTTCTGTGAGATCAAAGGACCGCAGGGGCTGATTGAAAGTGGGGGCCTTGGGGAAGGAGCAGAGAGGAGGGGAGCTGGGGCCAGAAGAGGACCAGCCAGCCCGCCCAAAGGTGATAATACCTCTTCTTGTTCCTTGGCTGGAAACTGGCTCCAGCCCCTGGGAATGAGGCGAGAGGGGCTGTGTCTGTGGAGACAGCACCTGAAAGGGAAACATTAGACTCCAATCAATCAGCAGCAAATTAGGAGCAAAGCAAGGTGGCTTCCGTGCACACACAAAAGGGAGCTTTGCTCTGCCTCCTGTCCATCCGTTCCTCCCTACCCCCCATCGAAGCATGAAGGGCCCAGTGTGCGCCATCAGGGTGACGCCGCCAGGCCTTAATCCCAAGGGGTGGATGCCATTAGAGGGGATTTGCATGCCATGTGTGTCTATGCATGGTCAGGGGCACGGGAGACTGGCAATTTGAAATGAGACTCACAGGGAGGGGGCATCATTCAATCAGACAGGGGGTTAATTTGTTCTTGGGAAAGAGGCTTCAACACCATGCTCTGGGGACTGATGCAGTGCTCCTGTCTCCAGCTTCCCCTGCAGAGATACCGTCCTCTTTCCCCCACCTTGCTGCCCAGGATTGCCAGGTGCACGCTGCTCTCTTCCCTGCTGTGACTCAGGGAGGGCAGAATGCAAACCCCGCTGGGATTGTTGGAAGCAAACCTATTTCCAGAAGCCAAATTGCAGCGTCCCCTCTGAGATTCTAACAGCAAAGAAGAGAGAATGTATTCAAAGGGGTGGATTGGGCACTTTGCAGACTGTCTTTTTGCTCTGTGTCTGTACAGCGCCGACCACAATGGGGCCCTGATCCTTGATTGGAGTTCCTAGGGACTACAGCAATAATAATGATTATAATGAACACGCTCTATTTTAAATGCCAATTTCCTGTTAAATTAACCAAAGAAAGCAGCACAAGCAGAGACCACTTCTAGCAAACTTGGAAGTTTTCTGCTTTCAGATGGGAACTGGGTGGTCTGAGCACAGCTCTAGATTACCAAGACCAGGTCTGCTGTTGGGAAGTCTGGTGAAATGGCAATTCCCACCAACCGGCACTGGATATGCCAGGGAAGGGAGGCCATATGTCACCACCACGGCAGCCCTTGCAATGGTGGTGGCTGCAGTGCAAAGGCTTCTGTTGGTTTTACCACCTGGCGATCTCGCCCTTTTGTGAGTAACAAAATTACCTTCCGGGGTTCTGGCTTCTTCTGGTTTCTGACTTCATAAAGTCATAGAGTTTAGGGCCAGAAGGGATTATTAGATCAAGTCTGACCTCCTGTATATCACAGGCCAATAAATTTCACGCTGTTAAGCTTGTATTCAGCCTATGTCCCCAGCACTCCCCGCCAAGGGCATTATATCCTGGCATTTCATGGTGGCTTTCCTATTGTTCTGTTAATATGCCAGCTCTGGAACTTATCTTAAAGCCCCGGTTCCAGGAGTCATGTGATTACATGAGAACCTCAGCTTTCATTTTCAAAAATAGCATGTCTCTAGCACTCCCGGTTGGGGAGAAAAAATGAAAAAGGAGATCCCTGCTGGCTCTGGTGCCAGAAGGCCAGTAAACAGATCCTATCAAATACTGATATTTTAAATTTCATGATTTCTAAACCAATCTAATTAATTTGTGGGCCCTGACTCATGGTTTCTGAATGCTTGGAGTTGGCAATACTGCATACAGCAGAGCAGAGTCCACCTGACAGGCTGAGTTGGTGCAGTGACATGGCCATGAAGAAAGGTATAGGGCTTCGGGCCAGGATCTGTTCTTAGGGACACCAACATGAATCCAGAGCAGCTTCTCTGACTTAATGCAGTTACTTCAGCATAACTGAGCTCAGAGACATCTGATTCTCCTAACATAACATGCTTGCTACTGCCAGCCAGGGCCAATTGTTCTCCATGTCTACTGAAAGTAGGACAAGAAGTTATCAGCTTAATCTGCAGCCAGGGAGATTTAGGTTAGATATTAGGAATAGGAACAACTTTCTAACCATAAGGGGAGTTAAGCTCAGGAACAGGCTGCCCAGGTAGGTGGTGGAATCCCTGTCACTGGAGGTTTCAAGAACAGGTTGGACAAACACCTGTCAGGAATGGTCTAGGTTTACTTGGTCCTTCCTCAGCATGAGTAGATAGACTGGGTGACCTCTTGGAGTCCCTTCCTGCCCTAAATTTCTATGATTTCAGGACTGCTTTCAATGCTGCTAAGCCCCCAGGATTCCCTTTGAAGTCAATGACAGCCATCCAACTCTTAAGGGGCCTGGTCCCTGAGGTGGCTTGCAGTGAGCTCCATGGACACCCCAAATCCACTGCTGCAGTCACATCGCCTCTTCCACCACCACCCGACCCGCGCCGTCTGACCGCTCCCTGTAATTGCTTTTCCTTCTCACAATGACGGGGCGGACGGGGATGAAGAATCTTAATCCTTTAACTGGGTCTAAAAAGAGCCATTTACAAAGCTACACAAATATAATGCGGCAGGGATGCCGCTGAGGTAGGGTGAGGGGGAGGGAGAGCGGGTGGAAAAAGGGAAAATTATAACAGTTTGAGTTAAATGAAGCTTTAAAGCAGGAGGGAAATGCAACACCCAGTAATTACTGGCTAACAATAAGGCCAGGAGCCCGCTCCCAGGTGTGACAGTCAGAGAATTAGCACAGGGGCTGTTTTAGGGGCTGTTTTTTTTTTCTCCCTTCGGCCTCATAGAGTTTGGTTCTTGTTTCCACAGGAATTCGAGACATTCTTTAAACTCAGAAGGCTTTAAAAGGGCTGGTTTTGCCTCCCCATTCCCTCCCACCCCCACACACACCCCTATTTAGCCAGAGCTTCAAAGGTGGGGGAGTTCCCTTTGTGTAATCTCTGCTTTAATTTTTTTTCCTTCTTTCCATCCCCTTCCCCCCTTTTATTTTATTCCCCCCCTCCCTTCTCATTCTTCTTGACCTCCCCGTATAGAATGGAGTCTGAAGGGTGAGTCCTTTTTAATTATGGCTGGGGAAGAAAAAACTCACACTGTTTCTTTCTTGTTTTTTGAGGTGAGACTTGGAGAGGGGAGGGGCGGGGGCTGGAGGGGAGGGGAGTGGAATGTCTTTCTGTGCAAAAAGTGCAGTCAAGGATATCCCACCCCGGCAGCATCCTGCAAAGCATGATGGCCCCCAAGTTAAAAGCAAAATGTCTTTCCCAAGGCTTTTCTCATCGGGCCGCTTAGTTCCTCGCCGACTCTGGCTGGTAGCTTGAAAGGTCTTGTGTGTGTGTCTGTGTCTCTGTGTGTGTGTGTATGTGTGCAGGGAGGGGTGTGTGGAGTGGGAGGTGCATTGGGACCCAGCTGGGGATGGAAGGGTCTCAATGCTGGTGAGATTAACTCGCTGGAAGGGGAAGTAATAATGGCACCTCTCATGCAATTAATAAAGTTAGTGGGGCAGGGAGTCTGGGAATGCGAGTCGGGGAGGCCGGCATGGTCGGAATGAAAGAGCAGATGCCAGCGAGGCAAATTAGAGATGAGCCCGAACCCCGGGAGCGTCTCCCCTGAGGCCACCCACCCCGAGCGTTGGGGGCAGAGAGGGGGATGGAACAAATGGACCCCAGATCTGAACCTGCCCCACTTCAGGGTTCGCAAAAACCAGGGCTGACTGATGAGTTTGCAAAGCATAACCTGCCTCTTGTTTTGCCCCACTTGCTCCAAGCAATCGCAGGGTCAGAGGAAAGGCAATTCCAGCAAGGAGAAATCTAGCTCTAGGCACTGGTCCCAGGAACCCTGGAGAGTCCCAGTTTCAGGGCACTTTGGTCTGGTCGGCAATTGAATTTGGTGGGGCGGAGAGGAGGTGTTCAATTAGATCGGGGCAGTTTGCTTTAGTTAGTCCCAGGGAAGCTGGATTCCAGGGGCCCAATTCCCCACTGCACTGCGCCTTGTGCAGTCATTCCCACCAGTGAAAAGTGCATGAGGAGGGAGTGGAAAGTACCACCCGAGCAGCATGTTTTGTATTTGGTTTGCATTGGTGTAAAGGGCTGTACGTGGTACAGTCCCTTCTGCTTCTGTCGCTATCTACCATAGACTCAGCGTCTGAGGCATCAGCAGCACCGGAGGTGGGGAGCTAATGCTAAAGGTGGAGCAGGAACAGCAATAGGTTTGGACACAACAGACACTGCCTTCCAGAAGGATCCAAGCGGCAACCCCACTCTGCTCCCAATGAAATGCCAGCTGGGACTGGTTCCAGACAGGGCTGTGCGCCCTGCCCCTGAGAGCAGAATGATGATGTTCTGCAAGTGATTTGATTTGAGAGAAGGACAAGGGGAGGGGAAAGGAAGAGGCTTAGGCTGGGTCCTCCTGACTCTCTGGGAACTGGGTTTATCCTGTCCAGCCCTTTGCCTCTGACCATGAATGTGGGGGATAGGAAAAGCCAGCTCCAAGCACCGCTAAACTTCTGGAGCTTGGAATGTGGGTCTTCATGGTGGTACCTTGGCCCATGGCCAATTGTCACTGCGATTATTTGGTGCAATTAACACTGCTTCACCTGGACTGTGGTATGCTGGGATCCCGTTATCACTCTGGGCTCCTGAGTCCTTCTCTGCCTGGCGTACCCGAGAACCTGTCTGCCCTAGGGACCCTTGCATTGGGGTAACTATACCAGCGCGCTATTCCTCTGCTGCTTTCTCCCAGCTTTGCTCTCTCTCAGTGCCTTCCCTGCGCATTAATAACTACGTTAATGTTTAGGCTGGCTCAGCAGCACCTGGCTCTATCCAAACCAAACAGGTTTGTGACTGAGAAGAGGGAGGTAGGAGCTTGCTTCCGCCCTGGCCCAGGAAAGATTCCCACTGCATGAGTTTGCTGGCAGATCCCAGTGGGCAGGGCAGCCAGGGTAAGCCGAGCCATTTGCCAGGGTTCCCTGGGCAGGGAGAAGATCCTAGAGAAAAGAAGGTGGGTGCTGGTCCATGACGGAGTCCCAGGGGCACCGCGCTGCCTAACCGAGGCCCCACATACCCCGGAGATCTGGTGGAGCACGTAAGTGCTGCTGTAATGCTCTTTAATGCATATTGGTAACCTGATGCCAGGAGCTGAAAGGCACCTTATTCCTGTGCAGAACGAGCACCCTGTGAGTGCGACATGTTACTAAATCCAAAAGTGGCGTTTCACGCTCGCTTTGCACAGGTGTAAACAGCTGCACCAGGTGCAGGGCAATGGGGAATCAGGCCTGAGAGTCCAGTGATGCTGGCAGGACTCCTGGGTTCCATTCCCAACTCTGCCACTGGCCCCCCCACTCACGGGGAGCCCTAGGACTGCACCCGATTTGGAGAGACCTTTAAAATTATCAAAGATGAATGCAAAGAACCACAGATCAGATGTGTTCTGGGAGCTGGACAGAAACTATCATACAGACAAGAAACCCCAGGCTTCTCTGGGGGCCTCTGTGGGGTTCTGATGTGTCCATTCATCCCTGTGAATTGCCCCTGTACACTGCATGGCAATTGCCTGCCACATATTCACACCCCTATAGGCACCTGGAGTACCTCACCCTACAGCAGCCCACCCATCTCAGGCATCAGGGGGCTCCAGCGTTTTGCAATCTCCGTGGCTTGGAGTGGAAAAGGCAATTAATTCCGTCATGTGTTTGGCTGGTTGTCAGGGGAAGGTGTCTGGGATTTTTTCCTTCGTGCTCAGATCAGGAACTTCCCAGAGCATCTGTGTCAGTCTGTCCAGCTCAGGGCCTTTGGCAGGGACAGGGAATTCCAGGTGTGGTGTTTGTACAGTGGACACAGAGGGGTCCTAGGGTTTCCATTCACTGTTGCTTTTTGTTTCCCAGGCACTAACCTAATGGTACAATGACCAGGCAGCAAACACACGGCAGGAAACCCAAACAGATGTTTGCATTGACAATTAAAACAAAATTCAGGGCAGGGGGCAGTGAAACCAGCACAGGGCTGGGAGAGGGAGCCGCTCGTGGGCACAGGGAGTGAGACCAGCACGGGGCTAGGCAAGGGGAGTCAGGTGGGGACCCGGGGATGAAACCAGCACAGGTCATGTGCTCGTGGTACTGGGGACCGTGCCTTTAAGGGCTGAGCTTCCCACAGAGAAAGTCTGGGTGGGGGCACTGGGAACCCTGGACACGGACGATAGCAGAGCTCCAGCAAGCCCTGAGCGATCACTGAACGCCACCACACGGAGGGTCACGTGGGGCTGGCAAGGCATGCTAAGTTTGTCAGGGACAGTCTCGAAAGCTTGTTCCACACTCACCCAGCATTCGTTCTGCTGTGTCCCCTCCGGCCCCTCACACAGGCTCTTGCCGCGACTGGGGGAAGGGGGAAAAGAGAGGGAAATGAAATACTGACCAGGCAGACAAACTGCTACTGAAGCCACGGTGTGTACTCATGCGTGTGTGCCTAGGGATCACTCCTGTGTAGATGGTGTGAGAGAGACACACCCCAGGCCTGTGCCACAGTGAATAATTGGGAGAAAAACTCCTGCAAATCATCCTCTGTGTGTGTCATATCTGCACAGCAGGGTGGATGTAGGCAGTGTGACAAATAGACAGACACCCCACAATGGAGAAATTGTGTGAGTGGATGGGTGAGAGAGAGAGAGAGAGAGAGAGAGAATGGGTGTACCTGGGCCTCCCTGTGTCTTTCTGTCTCTGGGTGTACACAGGACTCTTCTGTACAAATTAGGCCCTGTATCACAATCTTCCCCATGGCAACACCGCGTGGCCCGGTGCAGAGTTGGGTTCATCCTGATTACAGGGTGTGGTGGGGAAGGTGCTGCTGGGGAGGCTTCTTTCAGGCCAATCCAGGGAGTCCCTAGCCTAGATTTGCAGCTCTGACTGGTGCAAGGGGCTGTGGGGCAGGGAGCGTGGAGGGGGAAAGGTCTCATTTCCCAGCCACTCCGAGGGACAGGGAATAACTTGCCCCCTTCCAAAGAGCCCTGGGGCCCTCACTGAATTCTCTCCCTGGCCCTTCCATGGCCACTCACATGCCAAGCAACCGGGGAGCCTGAGGGAGGAATAAGGAGCTGCTGCTGCTGCAGATTATCCCTCCTCGCCAGCTCTGCTGCTGCTGCTCACTCGAGCCCTGGGTTGCTGAGAGGGGCGGTCGCCGTAGCAACGTGCAGTGGCGGGGAGGAGATGCTCAGAGCAGCGATGGCTCCCCATGGAAGGGCAAACCTGCCTGCAGCTAGGGACAGGCTCCCTTGAAGGTAGGTCCAATTTGCTGTGTCCCTCTCCTCTGCCTCTCCTGTTGCCATTCCCCCCTCCCCACCCAACACCCACGGCCATTGTGGGTGGGTTTCTGGCTGGCTGCTCCTGCTTGCGCGGGGGAGGCCAGAGTTGGGTGGCAGAGGTCCCAAGCATAGGGGTACAGAGGGCTCCACCGTGCTGGGCTGTGGGGGGTCCCGCATCGCCAGGGGCAGTAGGGAACACATGCAGTATTGGTTAATCTAGTTACAAAGCAGGCACGGTCACGGGGAGGGTGAAAACAACGAGGAGTCTTGTGGCACCTTAAAGACTAACAAATGTATTAGAGCATAAGCTTTCGTGGGCTACGACCCACTTCTTCAGATGCATGGAGTGAAAATTACAGGGTGTGTCACTGATGGACTAAGTGTGGTGCTGGGACTGTGTGTGCATGGGTCTGAGTGACAATGTCTGTCAGGGCAGGCGACAGTGTGTCTGCATGTCCCTCTCCTGTACATATCTATTTAATAACACCTCCCAGCCCCAGACCTGGGCTGAGAATCCACTGCTAAGAATCCATCTCTCCCCAGAAGGGCTTGGGTGACTTCCATCCCTGTTTCAATGACTGCAGAGCACCCACACCTGTTCCTCGGGGGCCCCACGAAGCTCTGACAGCCCAGCCCAGGTGACGGTTTGGAGATGAGGCTGTCTGAACAGATACATCACCCGGAAGATTTCTGCTGGTAGACGAGGCTGCGTTGGTTTCATTGCTTAGTCCTCTGAGGCCCTGTGGCTCCTCCTTGGCAACCCCCAGGGCTCTCTGAGGGAACAAGAGTCTGAGCGTTCAGCACCCTGCCCCCACAGAGGGGACTGCATGTGAGGTCGCACTGCCCATCACCAGGAATGGTAAGGAACCCTAGAACTACACCCCTGGGGAGGGCAGCTCTGAAACCGGGCTGTGCATGCCTCGATCCTGGCCCGATGGATTAAGAGCCCCTGCAGGGAGTCTGGTTTGTTAATCGATGGAACAGGAGGGGCTGGGTTGAAGTTTCCCGCCTCTGATTTCTGGGCTGATTTCATTAGTTTCTCTTATTGACCATCATATTCTGAGGCGTTAGACGTTAGTGGACTTTGCAGCATTCTTAATGCATGAGAAACGGGGTTCGCATGAGTACATTGGCCATGCGATGGATGACTATTGATCATTTATGGGGCGCCTGGCTTCTACTCCTGGCTGTGGCTGGGGGTGGGGTGTGTGGTTAGAGCAGCGGGGTGTGAGTCAGGACAGCAGTGTTATCCCTGTCTCTGGGCGAGCATGGGGTCCAGTGGCTAGGTACTATGCCCATACCGTAGAACTGGGCAAAGCTGTGTCTCAACATGGCTGCTGATAATTTCTCCCCTTTGCAGAGGGCTCTTGGTAAAAGGTGCCAGAGAAATGCCAAGTGGTGTTCTTGTCATTATTGGCCTCCTCTTGCTATACCTACTTCCCTGCATGTCCCGAGTGTATGTGGACGGCTGGGATATTGCTAGAGACAGAGAGAGGCCTGAACCCTCCCTCATCCATCTCCGATAGTCTCCATTTCACACGGAGCTCTCTGGAGGTGGCCTGCTCCCTGACAGCTGGTTCTCTTAGAGTCGGATCAGGAACACCTGCCCCCGCACCCCCAGTTGCAGAATTGTCAGTGACTATTTAGTCTCTGAGCCACTTCCCTCCCTGCCCCCCGTCCCCCAGTTCTATGCTGTTCTAGCTATGTGGGGAGAGAGGCTACTGCTCTTTGCTCTCCCCCAGCTGTGTTGTCCAGTGCACTTGCAACCGATGATGATTAAGCAGTTGTTGCAAAGGAACTCCTGAAGGGGGAGCCCTTGGATTTATTTGGGAACATGGCACTGCCAAGAATGCCAGGTTGGGAAGTCACAGGCTCAGGAAGGTCGGAGGACAGGTTCCCTTGCTAGGTGTAGCAGCCCCTGTTTCCTGGCTCTCTGGAGCCACGAGGGGTATTCTGGAGAGCTTAGGGCCTGGTTTTCATAGTCGGCGAGCACCCGCAAACGCCACCTGCAATGGATTGGAGCTGTAGGTGCCTCTGAAAATGAGGCCATTAATGTTTCCACCCCATCAGGGCCTACCTGTAGGGTCCCCGCCCCTTTGCATGTGATCTGAAATAGCAGGCCCCTGTCCTGCATCCGTGGGAAATGCATTCTGGCATCTCAAGCCAGAGATGAACCCAGATCACTGTGCTAAGCGCAGTGGATTTGGATGCGACATGGATGGGAGACCTCCCAGGGAAATCTAAGCTGCTGCCAAAGTTGGTGCTGATGATTCAGCAGAGGATGCTCTTCCTTCAGGGTCATCAGTGAATGGGTTCCCCAGCCTTGTGCAAAGGGGTGCTGGAGGCACTCCCTCTTGGATCAGGTGCGACACCAAACCCCAGGTCATTTATGGGCATTACAGATCCTGCAGCATCTTTTCCATGAGATGGGGTGTCAGCCACAGTGTCCATGCCAAATTCCACCGTGGGGTCTGCATTCTGCTTCCTTAGAGAGGGCTGTGACTCACCCTCCCTGCTCCAACCCCCCTGGAACTTTGTGGGAGATCTGATCCAAGTCCGAAGCCGGTCTCTAGTGTCCATACAGATACGATTATCAACCTAAAGCGTTATAGTGTTGAGTCCTAGACAGCTGCCACGTTCCGCCCCAGAGGCAGCTGCACTCCAACAGTTGGCAAGGTGGGGTGATGTGGGAGGAAAGGTGGGTCTAGACGTATACTATCCATGAGCTATAGCCAGCTGGAGCAAAGCCATTTCTGCAGGATGACATCCCGTTTGTCAGCCTGTTTCCTTTACATTGCATTGCCTGAATTTTCTGGGGGGGGAATTCTACCCATTGCTCCCCAACCCACTCCTCTCCCTTCCATTCTGCCTTGCTATTTTTGGCACTGACACAGAGCGTTTATTTCATTTTATTTTGCAACAACAAAAATTAACAGAGGGAGGGAGAGAGAGCAAGATGGAGAGCCGCCACCTCTCACAAATACTGCTTCGTCATGATGCTGGTTAATTCTCCTCTTGTTCAGAAATGGACTGAGCCAGCAGCAGAGGTGGGGAGCTGCACACACACACGCTCTGACTGGCTCTGTAAATCCACATTGCTATCACCACTCGATCCTTTGCAGGCACTGCCTCTGGGGCTGGGAGATACACACACACATACACACACACACAGGACTGTCATGCTGTCAGATACACGCCAACAGCACAGCAGCTGAACCCAGCAAGGGCAGCCGGCTGAGGACTCGCTGGGATACTCCCAAGCAAGAGGCAGAAGGAGGGGAAGGAGAGGCGTTTTGCAGCAAGAGAGGGCAGGGGAGCAGTTCTCTGGGCTCCTGGGGCTTGTTGTTGTTATCGTTCTCGGCTTGTTTTTCGGGCTGGGAAACCATGCGAGATTCCTGGAAGAGGCTTCCATAGCCCCAGCTGGGTGAGTCAAGAGGGCTGCCGTGCAATCTCATTGAGCTCGTACTTGACCCCTGCCATGGCTCGGCAGGCATGAGGGGTGGGAGGGCACATTCCAGGCAGATGCTGTTCCACTCTGGTGCCTGTGCCCAGGACTAACCCAACCTGCAGCAAGCGAGTGTACAGAACCGGCGGGGACTAGAGTTCAGCTGGTATGTTGTTAATAGCATCAACTCTACCTCCTCCTGCCTTCCCTTCTTCATCCTCTTCTTGCTTTGCTTTCTCCCTCCCTTCCCTCCCTGTCTGTTGGTGCTTTGCTCTTTCTTTCCTTCTGTCCGGCCTCTTCCTCCTCCCAGGCACCTGGAAAGGGGACAGCCTTGCTAAGTGAGGATGCTCACCCTCCACTGCCAAAAGCATCACTGCCGGCTACGACAAATTGTGTATTTTTCATAAGTGGCTTCCGAAATGCAGGCCCCACAGACAGCCTGGGCACGTGCTGGCCCTAGGGTGCTGCTGGTGATGTGGGGCAGCAGGGGTATTGTGCTGCTCGTGTGGAGCTAAGGTAGTCTAAGCTGGCACTTGGTTGGCAGGAGCTGGTGTTGGTAGTATCGGCCAGGATGCTGGTGCCAGCCAGGCACAGATTAATAAGAGCCGTCTGGCTGGGCTCTGCTAAGGGGGTCTTGCTGGGCTGCGCTGGCCTATTACTGGTTTGAGAGGCTGCTTAAAATGTTTTGGTTTTAGCGTTTTAAGGCTCAGGGCTAAATGTTCATGCATAGGCAACTAAACAAGGCATTAGCACCCCAGCTTCGGCCCTGCGGTTAGACCTTGGGGCACATAATGAGTTTTTGTGCTCTGAGGTTCCGAACCAAGCATCCAGGTGACAGGGGCGGCAGGTTTGTATAATTTTTGGTGGTGCCCAGAACGGGTCCAAGTCCTGCCCCACCCACACCTGCCTAAGGCCCTGGGAGGGAGTTTGGATGCGGGAGGGGTGCGGGCTCTGGGCTGGGACAGAGGATTGGGGTGCAGGAGGGGATGAGGGCGGCGGGCTCTGTGAGGGAGTTGGGGTGTGGGAGAGGGTGAGGGGTGTGGCTCTTACCTTGGGCGGCTCCTAGGTGGGGGATGTCATGGGGGGTCTCTATGTGCCGCTGTCCGCAGGCACCGCCCCCAGCCAATGGGAGCTGTGGAGTTGGTGCTCAAGGTGGGGGCAGTGTGCGGACATACACGTCCCCCCCGGGCCACAGGGACGCATCGGCTGCTTCCGGGAGCAGTGCGGAGCGAGGGTGGGCAGGAAGGCGCCATAGCCCCACTATATTGCCGGTGGTGGCAGTGGCGGCCGGGGCTCCTTTTAAATCGCCTGGGGGCAGCAGGCGGGGTCAGGAGATGCTCCAGGGGAGGTGCGTGGGGACAGCAGGCAGGGCCAGGGGAGAGACCCGGCCCCGCATATTGGTGAAGCCGGGCCCCTGGGTCCTGAATATTCCTGGAGCACGGGCACCACGGGCCCATATAACTCACCGCCCCTGCCAGGTGAGGAATTTGGATGTTCTGGGGACCTGTGTTTGACAAATGAGTTCCCCAGCTCTCTTGAGCCCATTCCCCATGGGCTCAGAAATCCAGTCCAGTTCTTTTTCTCCTCTCAGGGCTGCATCCGGAGCCCATTCCAGGTGGGCACAGAAATGCAGTAGGTCCAGGCCTTTAATGTCCATTTCCTACAGAGACACAATTTTGTGACTAACAGGAAAGCTACAAGGCTGGCAGGCAGGCTGCTTCCACAGCTGCACAGCTCCCCTTCCCCCAGCCGTAGACTCCCTCACAGCAACTGGCTCCCTACAGTTGCAAATTGAAATGCAGTTTTGGGCGTCTGGGGATGCTCCCAGAGGCCCTTTTATCATAAGGGAGTTCAGAAGCCTCACCTGGGACCAGCTGATTCCCAGGCCAAAACAGGAATGAGACAAGGGTTTGCACTGTTTGCAACTCGGGGAGAACTTCTCTGTGCAGAGAGTGAATGAGGTAGAGGAGGAAGAGCAAGGCCAGCAGAGTAGTGTCGTGTTAGGTGGAAAGCGGGGTATGGCTGTAGAGGAGGACATAGGCAACGGGCAGGTCGAGGATCTATCATATGGGGTCAAGAGGAAAACATCTCAGAAGAAAAGTAGATTTTTGCTCCCAAGGGCACCGGTTTGAAAACAGCCCAAATCAGCAGTGACCAGAAGCCATTCCCGTCTGATAGACCTCATGGGCAGTGAGTTACAGGGTCTTAGTTCAGTTTCTAGCAGGACAAGCATCTAGATCCCAAAAATCCCCACTGCGATTGGCCTTAATTTGCCTCCACCCTTATGGGCAGGCAGAGGGAGCAAACAGCCTGAGCTTAATAGGCCACTGAGACTGAACTCCCCTCTCATTCTAGAGAGGGATCCCTCTGGGGCAGGGCTGAGAGGCATGGGAGGTTGCAGCCCATATACTGTGGGGACACAAGGACATGGTGGGTGTTGCAGATTTTGGGATGGGATCAAGGTCTCATAGGCCCATCTGCCCCTCCCATCACCCATCCGATGGCACCGGAGCTGGGCCGGGACACACAGGCAGATGCCAGCGCCTCCTATGCTAAAAGAGTGGGGATACTACCCGCTTGCACAGTGGGGAAAGGGGAACTGGGATCGCTGCCTAGATGGGGTGACTCTCGTCAGGATCGAAGGACAGAGCTATAGAGCAGCCATGGGACCAGCCCACTCATGCGCCTGCCTTAGGGTTTCAAGCATTGTCGGAATGGCTCTTCGATTCTCCCATGACAGGCGCGTTAGGGCACCAGAGAGAAATGCACGTCCCCCTGGTTGAGAGATCTGAGCTCGAGCCACAACCTCGACTGGACACTCCAAAGTCTCTCGGCTCCAGAGCTTTGTTTTCACTCATGATCAAGGCCTTTAGCAAACTTCTGACCCAGGTCTGGGCTGGGATTTCAGAGTCCTCCATGTTCCTGCTGGGGGCTCCGATCCAGGGGGTTGGTACAGTCCCACTGGCAGGACACTGAGAGGGAATGTTGGAAGGGCTGCATCTAGCCATGCCCAGGGCCTGGCATTGCTACCCAGCTGGGTTGCTGGGACAGAAAGGGAAGAGCCCTTCCCTCTGTGATCCCCCCAGGGTGTGCCAATATGTAGCGCAGGTTTCCAGAGGCGCTTGCTGTCCAGGCTCTGGGAGGATGGTTTGTTTCTGTTGCTCCTCGCAAGCTGGGTGTGTTGAACTGGGCATTATCAGCTGGTAGGAAGGCTCAGTTTCTTTGCCGCCCGCCTCCCTGTGCCCCTTCCACATCCTCAGCTACTGAGACCAGCTCTGGCCTCGTCGTGAAGCACATGCTGCTAATGCCCGGAGCTGGCTTGAGAACCCATTTGTACCAGAGCAGTAGAAGCTGAGAAGGTGGAACTGGTTATGGCTGCCAAGCTGAGACAATCAGAGTGAGAGAGGCCTGGGGAAATGCAGGGCACTCCATGACTCCCTCCTGGCGAAGGAACTTGCACATGGTTTGCTCTGACTTGTCTCTAAGGGGAACGCCTGCCTTGTTAGGCTGTTGGTGGGTGTCAAACACCACACCCTCCTACCCCACTCAGCCAGGGCAGAAATCAAACCGTCCCGCTGGGTTTGGGCAGGATCAGCTGAGCTCAGAAACAGCCACCGGCCAATGAGAGAGCCAAGGCTCAACTGTGCTTTGCTGTGGTGGGTGTTGAACTCCACTAACCCTGTCTGGCCCGGGGAGGGCGGGGGCAGCTGTATCCAGCTAAAGGGAGAGGGGAGCGGTGTTTGATCCTGCCATCATATGCAGGGAAGGCAGGGCAGTGTGTGTGTCTATCTATGACTTCCTAAGAAGAAGTACTGCAGAAAGGGATCTGTGGGTCCTAGTGGATCACAAGCTAAATATGAGTCAACAATGTAACACTGTTGCAAAAAGTAGTGTGTCCAGTTCTGGGCACCACACTTCAGGAAAGATGTGGAGAAAGTCCAGAGAAGAGCAACAAAAATGATTAAAGATCTAGAAAACATGACCTATGAGATTTTAAAAATTGGATTTGTTTAGTCTGGAGAAGAGATGACTGAAGGGGGACATGATAACAGTTTTCAAATACGTAAAAGGTTGTTACAAGGAGGAGGGAGAAAAATTGTTTTTCTTAAACTCTGAGGATAGGACAAGAAGCAATGGGCTTAAATTGCAGCAAGGGAGGTTTAGGTTGGACATTAGGAAAATCTTCCTGTCAGGGGGGTTAAGCACTGGAATAAATTGCCTAGGGAGGTTGTGGAATCTCCATCATTGGGGATTTTTAAGAGCAGGTTAGACAAACACCTGTCAGGGATGGTCTAGATAATACTTAGTCCTGCCATGAGTGCGGGGGACTGGACTAGATGACCTCTCGAGGTCCCTTTCAGTCTTATGATTCTATCATTCTATTTAGTGTTCACCATGATATCCCAGAGAGACCCCTCCAGCTTCGTGCTGTGCGGAGAGTGCCCAGCCAGGATGACATAGACCTGATCTTGGCTACCCCTGTATGTTTCCTGCTCTGTATAAACGCTTTGTAAGGATAAGACAGGATCAAGGGGACAGAGCTCTCCTTTGTAGCTTGCTTCTTTGCTCAGAGCAGGAAGGGGCCTGCCAAGGAAACTCGCCCTCCTGAAGAATGATTCCCCGCCCCGTTTTCCACAGCCCCAGGGTGACTCCTGAGGGTGCCATGTGGTAAGGAGCCAAGCACTTCCTGAATCCAAGGCAGGTCGGGTTCAGCTGATAGGGCAGCTTTGCCAAGAGGGTGTGAAGTTAGGGGCAGAGGGAGCCAGGTTTGCTTTGAAGCCCCCCAAAGAACAGCTGGCCTGTCTTCTTCCACCCAGCCACGTCCACAGTGTGCCCAGTGAGACGAGTGTCTTTAGCGCGGCCGCCTGTTTCCAGCCTTGGCTTTGCGTCTCCACAGCAGCCGGCGGGGCCGTTGCTATGGCTCGGGATGTGGAGAGAGCTCTAAGCTTCTTTGAGTCGGCAGCCTGCAAAGGGGCTGCCTCTCCAGGAGGTGTGTGCAGGCAGGCGGCCAAGGCATCATGGCCCAGTTATCCCTGGCTGAGCTGGGGATGAGGATACCTGCAGTGCCCTCAGGTCTCTGGGATGCTGGCAGAAAACAGGGCAGGAGGTGTAGTGGGATTGGGATCACTTTTCCTGAGCTGGGAATTGGATTGGAGATGTCCCCTGAGTGTAGCTGGGAATGGGGCAGGGCCCCAGTGAGGACATGTGCAGAGTGTACCATCCTTATGGGCTGTCAGGGTCCCCCATGGGGGATCGGATCCCGTAGGATCTGAAGGCTCCCTGCAGGATTGCCCAGGGAGGGAGTTGCCCGCAGGGACGGCAATGACACAGGGAACAGGCTGTCAGGAAGTGAAGGGGGTCCTGGAGTCTGAGGCTGCTGGGGTTTGGCTGCTCCCTGCCAGGCTGCAGTCATGGCCGTTCTGGACACATGCACGCTGGTGCATTCGCCCCACATCCGTGTCTACGCCTCTCTGGGTGCTGCCGTGATCAAGTCCCCTCCCATTCCCTTTACATCATCCCTTAGTCTGTTTCCTTCTGCCCCTAAGAGATGCTGTCATGGGAGGTCTCCCACGCCCCTCGCATACAGGATGAGCTGGCTAATCCCATTCTTAGCCCAGATTACAGGTCACATGAGCCTTTTCCTCGCCCCGCTGCATCACAACCACAGTCTCTCCAGTACCCAGGGGCTGCTAAAAGGGCATCGTCTCCCTTTGCAAGGCCGTGGGGCCACTGGCGAGCTGCGCACTCAGGCACAGCAGAGCGATGGTGTTGGCGTCAGCAGGGTCACAGAGGAGTGGAGCAGAACTTGGCCCACTGCGCCCAGCTGACACGCTCTGTTTCCCGTCCCCGGTGAGAATGACAGCACTGGATCTGTGGGAGCTCATCTCTCCACGGAGGGAGCCTCAGATGCAACAGCGATGCTCAGTGCACGCCACAGCACTTTGAGATCCTGGGGGGAAAGGCACTATTTAAATGCAAAGATCCCCCTCCTGCTCTGCCTGAGAAACCTGGCTCTGGTTCTTCTGGGCAAGAACCACCCATCGCCGCTGCAAACTAGTACAGCACTTCCTGGGCTTGAGGAGCAATGGCCGCTAGCTCCTGCTAGAGCTCAGGAACCAGGGGATTTATAGCAGTGTCACAAATATCCACCCGAGTCTCAGGTCTCCTGAACTGGGATGGTGAAAATGGCCCCTCCCATCCTCCTGCTCAGCTCCGCTCAGCTGTAGATCTCAGAGTGCATTGCCAAGGGAGGTCAGATAACACAGTGCAGTGCAAAGAAAGGGCTGTATCACGCTCCCCATTTTACAGCTGGAGAAACTGAGGCACAGAGAGGGGGGACTGATTTGCCCCAGGTGAGTGGGGGAGCTGGGAACAGAGCCCAGGTCTCACCCTTCTAGCCTGGTGGCTGATCATGGGATAGTGCCACCATGATCTCAGTTATGCAAGCATCACCTGCTGAGAAAGCACAATGCATCCTAGCCTTCACTCCCTCCCATGCCGTCTCTATCTTCTCCTCCTCTCTGAAGAGACAAGGAGGCAGCCAAAGTGAGCAATACGCACAGGCTCTTATCCTGCAGAGCCTGACCTGGGAGCAGCAATTGACACAAACTTCATTTAGTACCAAGAAGCCTGTGGGGTGTGGGCATGCTGACTGGAGCCACTCCCTCTGCCTGGGAGGCTGCGGGCCAGAGTCTGTTTGATGACTGGGGGCAGGGACCCTGTGAGGCCCACACCGCACTTGCCTAGAAACACTCCCTGTTGCTCATGTGTTTTGCAGCAGCCTGCTTTCCTGAGTGAGCTTGAAGGGAGCTGTCTGCCTCTGCTCTCCCCTGCCCCATCCCACTGCTCGCCCCACAGTGAGCGAGAGGCCTCACCTCTGACCCACTCTGCTTGGGGAAAAAATATCCCACCAGCTGCCAAGTTTTCTGCCTGTGCAGCCCATATTTTAATGTGAATGAATCATCCTTTCTCCAGCTGGCACCTCTGCCGGGTGATGCTAAACAGTGTGGAAGGAATAGATTGTCAATAGCACCGGGTTAGCATTGCCAGCCTCCCCCAAGGCGTTATTCCAACACATTCGGGAGGGACCAGGGAAGAGAAGCTGGACAAAGTGGGAGACAGATGCCGATAAATCCGGCCAAGAGTTGTGGATCTTGTTTCCACGTCTTCCCTGGCACTACTGCCACCTCGCTGCTCTTCTAGCAAAGCAGTTGCACCAGGCATCCATCTAGATCCCAGGAGCTGCTTAATGGGATACCTGCAAGTCCATACAGTCCCACAGGGCATCCAAATCACTGTCAGGAATGGGGGCACCTAAGCCAGACCCTAGGTCACGCAAGTCATGCATGTGGCCCAGCCACTCAAGCTGCCTCTGAACAGGGAGACCAAGCCCAAACCATCACACAGGGCATCCAAACCACTGCCTGGGCACTGGGGCCATTCTGTGGTGACCCCATGCCAAGTCCCTGCAGGGGGCACCCAGTTCTGGGAATGGAATGGCAGCTCGACAGAGACTTCCCATG